GAGTACACTGTGGTCATAAAGGGATGGATATGGTCAGCAACAACAATCAGCTAGGCTGCTTTAACTTATAAGGGCTAAATGTTTAATTCCCTGTCGGTCTGTCAGGAAAGGTGACCTGATGAAACCAAAGGTTTTATTATGATAAAATGTGATAATTCTATTTGCATTTTATCATAATAATAAAATAACGGTTATGAAAACAACAACAACAACAAAAAAAACCCCGGACAAAATCAATCTGCAAAAATATTATACATTTATATATAATTATGAAAGAAGGAAAATTTTAACTCAAGTTACTGTTCTATTTTACTTTTTACACAGAGCATTTTATTTAAAACTGCATAAATTAATTGGACAATAATGTACTGTTGGCTGTTTGATGGTGAAAGTGTGACACAACACAACTGTGACCACTAAAGTGAAAGTTTCCTGTATACATCTATGACGAACAAATTCTTAGTACAATGTGAAGGTAGGCAATCTTTAAACATATATGTTCTTCTTTTTTTGAAAAGCCTTGTGACACCCAAAGAAGTGTACAAATACAGTAGGAGCTGTCTTTTATTTATTTATTTTTAACAAAAACAGTTTGGAGCTGTTTGGAAATGACACAATTTCACCTTTTCAGAGGCTTAACTTAATTGGACAAACTAGCATAATTTTTAATACTTAAAATAGCAGAATAATTAACTTGAGTTGTAACTGCACTGACTTATTGCCAGTGTGGATGTTTAAGACATTTATTGTCAGACTTTAGGAATTAATTGTATTTATAACACAAAAGAGCATCAGTATAGCATTCAATTGAGGGGGCAGAGAGGCATTTTTGGACGGGTCTGGATTTGCAAGGCCTGCCTTTATCCGCGAAGTTGACTCACTCAAGGGCGTAGATTTGGCATGGACGGAAAAAACATGTCTCCACCAATAATTTAATCTCTTCGAGTAAAGAAAAACAAACCCGATAAAAAGAAAAAAACGATCTGTCAACGTCTCATTCAGTCCACCTTGGAGTGCAGTTTGCACAAATTGTTTTAAAAATGCACTCAGCCTACAAACATTACTGATGAGTCAAGATCTGCACAAATTGACAGAAACACTGAAGCAGGTGCACATTTTATTCTTATTGTCACGTATGTCCTATTTGTCAGGTGATAGAGAGCAATGGTGATACAAGATCACCGGTGAAATTGGATGATGACTTGTTGGTTGTAGTAGTAGTATTTATTTATTGTCATTGTCAAGAACAATGAAATTGCGTTTGGGGCTTCCATACAACCCCCAAAAAAGAAGAAAATAATAAATACCCCTTAAAACTCAAGTGTACATATTTAACCCAGTGTGACTCCAATGCAATAAGACAATCCTTAGCAATAATGTTCGTAGAAATTCAGACAAAGACCTGAGAAACATGACAAAATACAACAATGCAACCCATTCAATATTATTGTACTGTGAGATATGATATCAGATATGATAGTTATCTATTTAAGAAAGGTTCATTACTGTATTTGAAGCACATGTGTGACTGCATGTATTTGGAATGTCTCACTGTTATTTATCAGGTGACAGAGGCAGCTCTGCCATGTTGTAGCTCTGACAGAGGTGAAGAGGCAAGGTCACAGGTGACTGACTGATGATTTGGTGCTGTAGATTAACTAGTATTTATTATCATAACAATTGTTAGGCTGCTGATGTAAATTGATTCATTAGTGTATGTTTGACAAAGAATCTGAATTGACATGTCTCACTTTTTATATGGCACGAATCAATGTGTTATTTTATCAGGTGGCAATATGTCCTAGTGCAGTCAGAGGGGAAGAGCCAGGGCCAAAGCTGAGGCACATCAAGCACAGAATAATAATTTTAATCTGAGGATAAAACGCAGGTACTGAGGCCGAAAGAAGCTTCAGTGCTCTCAGAAGACTAAAAAGATGGCTAAGGTTAACAATGACTCAAATGAGATTAAACAATGCTGCTGTATGCCATGTCCACCAGGAGAGACTGGACAGTATAGATGTAAAACAAATATGGCAGCAGTTTATCTCAGTTAACGAGAGGAGCAGGCATGTGTTTGGCTCCTTCACATAGCGGACATTGAGTTGTTGTGTGGGACACCAGTAGTCCATGTCTGTTGCTGTAACAGTAGTTCATGTTTAGAATAAAAAATCCCAGCTCACTGACTTGATCGGGGCAATTGTGTGCCTAAACTGTTGCATAATTTTGCTGAGAGATCTTTTACTTTGTGGTAATCTTAGATGAGTAGTTTTATGGACAAAAACCACCAGGTCATTCAGTGTTTCCTTAGTGCCAAAATATAACAGATGTTGGTGTAGTATAACTGAAGTAATGTTGTTAAGTTCTTAAAGTCATATTCTTTTATTGTCATGACTGTATTTGAAGCTATTTTTTATTTTGTATGATACCTGATTTATATGGAATATAGCTAGAGTAAACTAAAGCCTAAAATACTTAGTCAGTCATTTGTTTAATAGTAATTTAACATTATATAATTCACATATAAAACTATGAACTGTAATTTTAAATGGTCTAAAAGCACGTAGAATAGCATATGTAGGCAAGTATATTTCTCCTTTTTTTTTTAAATCAAGAAGCAAAGACAAAAAGGGAAAAAAAAAGAAACAGGGCAGGGTTCAGTGGTTGAATCATCCGTCCCCACCAATGCCAAAACCAAATCTACGCCCTTGGACTCACTAATGCTGACATGGAGCCATGCCAGTTTAAGACTCTATTGAATGGTTTCCTTGATAGCTGATTTGATGTGTTACTACCACACACCCAATCCGAATGTTGGTACTTCCTGGCTTGTGTAGCCACTAGGTAACAAAAGCTCAACACGGCCCCTAGCATCCTGGAGCACTTCCGTTGTGTTTTGGAGTTTGTACGTGCTTTGTCTCTAGGGGCCACTGTAAATATACTTTTATTTATTCACTCCACATAAAATGTAATAAATAAATTATAAAGTACAAAAACCAACTATTTACATTTCATACATTTCAACTTTTAACTACTTAAATTTTCAGCTTTTTCCTTTTAAACAAATTTAAAGTGAAACAACACAAAACACTGCGAACCACAACACAATAAAATATAAATTAAAATATGGAAAAAAAAGGGGAAAAAAAGAACACCAAGATCTTTAATTACGGGAAAGGTTGGCATTTAGAAATATTAATATCACACTCAACTGACTGTGTTTTATCTTCCCATTGCACTGATGGGTGGACAGTTCTTAGGTGCCTGTGCATGTTGTTTGTGGAGCCGGCTCTATATGATATCCTTTTCTTGTAGACTCTACACTCTGCCTTTGTTTTGTCAGTAAGATTGAAATGGCTCCAGACTTTGCTACATTTCTTGATGTCACTCATTTTCTTTACTGTACCTTTCCAATGTGACTGTGTTGACTCTTGTTGTTGCTCCCGGCTGTCTTTCTTTCCCTCTCCCTCCTGTTCTTGTTGTGTGCTACTGCTGTTGTGAGTGTAACTACCGCCCTGCCCCCTCAGCTCAGCGCTGAGCAGAGGGGGGAGGGGTGCAAACACAAGGCTCTGTTTGCCATCTCTGCTCGCCATCTCTGCTCAGCGCAAACACAAGGGTGACTTGCAGCGTGAAGCGAAAAAAGTGAAAGAGAGGGCAAGAGAAAGGAAAAAAACAAAACAAAAAACCCACAGCTCCCAACTGGCATGATTTTTAATACTTGGATGAAGCAAGTGTCACAGTTTGCCAAAGCAGACTGAAAACATTTGTGAAGAGTGGACCCAAAATGCAGACACAAAGGAACGTGGAACCAAAACCTGAGTATTAAGAAAAAGTGAGCCGTTTAATGCGCTGATGAAGAAATACAAAGTAATGCATAAGGCAAACAAAGACGAGAATAAACAATAACCTAAACTGGGGAAACTAAACATAAAAAACCCAACACATGAACCGCTGCATGGATACACCGACACCGGGAACATGGAACCAACAGACAACAGACAGCCTGATACTGAACAAAAGAGGACAGAGGACTTAAATACACAGAGAGATAATGAGGGGATGGGGAACAGGTGGGAACAAAGCTGGGACAAATCAGACCTAACGAGACAAGGGGAAGCAAAACTGGACACACTGCACACAGAACAAGGACTTTCACAATAAAACAGGAAACAGCATGGAATGCAGAGATGACAACACGAACTTGATAACATAAGACACACAAACATGAAACACATGAAGGGTGAGGGAAACTTGAAACACAGGGGTAGAAGACACAAGGGGAATCTGAAAAACTATAAACTATAACCGCAACTTTGGTATAATAGAAAATAAACTACTTAACCTCAAGGACTTAAATATAAATCAAAAACATCAAATTAAACCAACATCCAAAAAGCTGACAAGAACTTGCCTGAATCTGAGTGCAGCACTGCACACTTCAGAATTCATCCGGCTGCTTCTTTTAGCAATCACACCATGAATAAGAATTGGTGACCTGGATCCACTGGTAGCCATAAAAGCTGTAATATTTCCTCCACCATGTTTGACAGATGATGTGTTTTACATTATGAAACATTTATCTTCTCCAAACTTCTCTCTTCTCATCATTCTTGTATGAGTTCACTTTGGTTTCATCTGCATAAGAATTTTTCAGACTGTGCAGACTCCTTTAGATGTTTTTTTTGGCAAAGTCTAATTCGACCTTCCTTTTCTTAAGTGTAACTAGTTGTTTGCACTTTGTTGTAAATTCTCAGTGTATGTACTGTATTCCTGAAAATATCTCTTGACAATCAGGTACCTCGACTTTGACAATGATAGTCTTGCCTCCTTCAGAGAAAACTGGATGCCTGCACTTCAGTCACATATTGACTGATTTAAATGAAAACTGTGGTAAAACTACAAAAATTGCATCTTTGTCCCAAACATTATGGAGTTTGAAAATCTTAAAGTGAGCTTTGTCCATCCTTATCAACCAGCCACATGAATTATAAGAAATGCTCATATTTTATCTGTCCTGTTTTTTTATTTTAAATTTACAGCAACAACAAATCTGTTTTCGATTTAATTAAACAAATCAAAGCATTATTCTGATTATACTGAAAATATAACCAACAGTACAGTAAATAACATCTTTTACATTGTTAGTTTTTTAGAAGTTATTCCTGGATTGTAATTTTGGTTAAGAACAAAGTAAAACATGATTAAGATGTAGTTGTTCCAGAGCTTCAGAGGAAGATGGTGATTATGGCTGAAGACACCAGCAGGAGCACGACACTGGGACCAGTTGGGATAGCACTGTTGCACAAGTTCCCTTCACAGCAGCTCATAGGACTGACACACAAGCTAGTGAACTGGCAGCCCTTAGTGACGGTACCTGTAAGACATGATGGTAAAACCTCCGTTTCAGCTCATAAAATGTATGATTTACAGCTTTAAACACTTCTTAATACACTGCAGAACAACTTACCGCTTGTAGTAAGGCTGAAACATCGGTCCATACCAGCAGGACAAGTTAAGACATCAGTGCAGGAGTGAGGGTCAGAGAGTGCACATACATAGCATTTTAATCCACATGCTGCAGAGAAACAAAGAAAGCTGTCATTCATAGATGAAGATTCTCCAAATACAAAGCATCATCCATTAGACTGCAGATGTCTTAATGAGATCCAGAAAAGCTTTTTTTCATTCAGAGAAAAGGCTTCTCATAAAGTTTGTGGTACCACAGCTCAGAGAATGCACCAGGAAATTAAAAGAGAGAGAGAGAAAGAAAATAGAACTGGACCAGGAGTTTTATTTTTTAAAAATCCCAAAGACAATAATAATAACAACCCAACAATAATAACCCAGATTAGATAAAATAATACCCTGCAGATCTATAGAGTATATGCAGGTAAATAGCCCTTTGTGGTGCAAGCAATAGAAATGAATGTGTTTTTAGAGCGCAGCGCTGGGCATGCCGTGTCATATGTAAAATGGCCTTCAGGATCTGCCGTTTCTATTACGAAATACAGTGAGCTCCATAATTTGATTTATAAAGGCATTTTTAAATAGTTTTGCATCTGCACATGACTATAGTGTATTTTAAATCAAACTGTTAATAGTACAAAAGTTACAAAGTCATCCATTTTAAAAAATTTATTCTTTCTTTTTTTTCACATCACAGAAGAATTGTAGTTCAGATGTGCTTTTCAAGGTGATCTGAACCTCTCTTCAGTTTCATGTCTCTTACAGTTTAGTATAAAAATAGAAGAGCTGAAAGGATCAGTGAGTATCTGATTATCTGGTAAAGAACAAGACAAACCAATCATAAACTGCTCTTACCTGTGGACAAACTCAAAACCAGGATCAGAGCTCCAAGAAGCTTCATGGTGAGAATAAGAAAGAAGTACACGATGTGCGAGGAGGACAGGTTAAGTAGGCTTTGTTCAGCTCTTCAGTTTCAGTTTCTCAGAAAGTGAGTAGCATGGTACTGAAGCCCCTCCCCTCTTGAGAAGTTCAGGTCACTCTGAGTGGACTCAATATTACTTTCATTTATGTGCACATCTGCACTTGTGCAATATGTTCACAAAAGAAGTTAATGCTACCGAATAATCGCTGTTGCTAAGATACACAGGAATGATACTGCAAAAGTATCATTCTGCAAAATGCTCATATTTCCTCTGTCCTGTTTTTTTTTATTTATTTACAGCTCATCACAAAACTCTTTTTATTTAATGATACAAAATGCAGAACACAAGTAGTTAAACAATCCAGCAATCAAAGTATTATTCTGATTTTATTGAATATATACCTGACAGAACAGTAACTGATACCTTTTACATTGTTAGAAAATCATTTATTATTCCTGGATTGTAATTTTGGTTAAGAACAAAGTAAAACATGATTAAGAAACTAGCAGAAACATACCACTGGGACCAGTTGGGACAAGTTCCCTTCACAGCAGCTCATAGGACTGACACACAAGCTAGTGAACCATTTAAGTTACATCACATGGAGTATGTGTGTGGGCCAATTAGACAGCGCTTGTATTGTGTAAAAAGGGTCCATCCAGTGGATAAATACATCATGTTACTATTTTATAGGTAAATGATAAATGTTGAATTTATCATCCGTTATGTTATCACTACATGGTTTGGCAATATTTCTGTCAAGTTTAGATCAAATCAAAATTTGATTAAAAAGATTGGAAAGACAAGTGAGAAGTGGGAGAACAGATAAAAAGTTGCAGCTATAATTCACAAAAGGTCACTGGGTACGTAAACACAGGAACTTACCAGTCTCAAAGTAAACTGGCCTTGAATCAGATCTGAAGGAGGAAGACTGGAGTGATCTTTGTTTTTATTGTTTAGCCAGCCGTGGTCTAAGTGACCTATTGGTGACAGTGACTCACCTGGATTATCCTCTTTATCGCAGGAAGACAGTCATGAAGGTTTTCTATTTGTTTTATTTTTTAGTAGAGCTATCTGGAAGAAATGTGATAACTAATCACAACTTGAGTACTATATCTTTAATGTTCACTTCACACTTTCATTTTTAGAATAAAGCAACTTTATTTTTAATTCCCAGAAAACGTTCAGCAAGAAAAACAAAGGAGAAAGAGAAAATTTGATAAATGGCAATTTTTCTCTATCACTTAACAATCATGGTTCAGTTGTGCTTTTCAAGGTGGTCTTGCTATCCTTCGATTACCTTTGTGTCATTTACAGTTTTACTAAATGGAAAGAAATTCATTCATATAATAATTTTAACATACAGCCTACCTGAGGACAGAGTCAAAAACAGGATCAGAGCTCTGAACAGTTTCATTTTGGAAGAAAGAGAGAAACACACGATGTAAGAGGATGACTGCACACAGACACTTGGCTCATTTCTCAGTATCTCAAAAGGTTTTATCAGGAAAGTTTTCATTTCCTCATACACCTCACACCTGGAAGATGGTGAAGGGTTTCATGGCCAAATAAGATGATAAACTGCTATAAACATTTACAAGTACGCAAAGTGTGCATTTACAGTCATACTGAGGAGGTGATGCATTCACCAGCTACTTCAGTAAGTATATCTGAGCAGTACTTGGTTAGGCACGCTTTCAGAATTGCCTTAATTCTCTATTACATAAATTCAACAAGGTTCTGCAAACATTCCTTTGAGACTTCCGTCTATGTTAGCATTACACAGCTGTGGAAGATTTGTCAGCTTCACATTATGCTGCAAAGCTGACAGACCCAGCGCGCTCTTCTGCTGCTGTAGCCCATCTGCTTTGTGCATTGAAAGTTGCCCTTCTGCATACATTAGTTGTAACAGTTGGTTTTTCGACTTGCTGTTGTTCCTATCAGCCTAAAGCAGTCAGTCTGGCTATTCTCCTCTGACCTCAACAAGGTGTTTAAAGTCACTTAAATAATCTTTTTTTTCTACACTCTGATGTTGGATTTGAGCTTCAGCAGGTGTTCTTGACCATCTTTACACGCCTCAATGTATCGAGGTGCTGCCATGTGATTTTAAGGAGCAGCTGAAGAGGAGTGCCTAATTATGTGGTTTATTAAAATTTTTAATAAACTAAACACAATTAAACTATTTGACAGAATACACAAGACATTTAAGAATAAGCAGTCTCCTCTAAATCATGTCCAGAACTGGTATTTATATTAGCCCCATAAATGTGTGGTGCACTTAATGAGCTATAGCCAGAAATACCAAACTGCAAACAGGTTCAGAATCAGCACAGTTCAATTTGCTTTTAATGTTTTGATTGAATGGCTGCTTTTTCACTCCAAAGTAGGACCAGAACCAGCAAGGTAAATGCAAGTCTTAGCTGCTGAGCTTCAGTGGTGGGCTAATATCCACAATCATGCTTTATCTTTATCACTGTGGATACCATAATATATACTTTAAACAGAATTATTAGATTGAGCCTTGTTGTAACTGCGCTGATTTATTGGCAGTGTGGGTGTTTCATTGTCAGACTTTAAGATTTAATTGTATTTGTAGCATAAAAGCACATCAGAATAGCATTCAGCTGAAGAGGCATTTTTGGATGGGCTTGGACTCGCAAGGCTTGCACTCAAGTGCAAAGCTGGTTCACTAACACTGACATGAAGCCATGCCAGCTGAAGACTCCTTTGAATCGTTTCCTCTATAGCCCATGTGTTTTGTTGTTGCAGAAAAAGACAGCCTGAGGGCGCTAAAGGACAAACTGAGAAGAACATTAAATGAAGCCCAAGGTAAAATAAGAGAGAATCTAATCTAATCTCATTTTTTTTTAAGAAAAAAATTGGAATCTAAACGTGAAAGTCTTATCTCCGAACTTTGTTTTGTGATCGTTAGTAATGACCACTGTGTTCAGGTTTTTTTTGCTGATTTTGAAATATAGGCTTTATAAAAATCTTTTTTTACATCTCACGGGAAAAATAAGATCGATGGAAAAGTTGAGTTTGCCTTCTGAATTTAATACAAACCATGATCATTTCCTAAAACGGACCAAACAGCAACAGTGAAGACAACGGACGTCTAAAAATACCAGTAGGTGTCAAACTCGTTCTTCCTTCTGAGCAGTCATGAGATCAGTGATACAATACTGATGGTCTGTGTTGAAACTTCCTTTAGATTTGTCTCATCAGCACCTTTCAGCTGCTTATTGAAAAACAAAGAAAAACAAAACTGTATTTCAGTAAACAGACTTTTCTTATGAAATTTCTTTTTTTTAACTATGAAAATAAAACCATTTAAACTCAAGTTTTACACATATTTTTTTTAATATAAGTGATGCTTAGTCAGGAGCAGTCCTATTGGCTGTAACACCCTAGTTCTCGCCTTTATTTCCAAAAATGGTGAGTCTGGCAGTGAGGTCACTTAAGGGGCCACTGTTATTCAGGTCACTTCTTAGAAAGCTTTGTGAAGAAATGCAAATTCTCAGATTGTCAGAACAAAACCGTGAAAGTTTCACTAAGAAAGAAAGGCTTAGCCACAGCTTTTTTCCCTGTAAGACTGATTATCAAACTGAGTTCATGATGCAGCTTTATCGAGCTCTGATTCTGTGTGTGACTCTGTCTGCAGGTAAGAGAATATTTCATGTTGGTCCTGTGTGCTTTGACAGATAAACAAATGTATCGATTGTTAATGGTGGTCTTAAAGCCTGTAAGGAAAGGGAAAGTTAAAAACCTCAATGGCCAGACTGTGAGGAAACAGAAACAGACAAATTATATATGTTGTTAAATTATATATGAAGAGTTTAGTTGTTATAGAAATTATTTAATACGTTTAAAAACAATTGTTTAAGTTTTAATTAGTATTTGCTTTATGCAAAACTTTAAGGATTTCCTGTTTTATTTTTTTTCACTTCCCATTTTCTTCCAGCTCTCATCAAGAGGTATAAAATGGAAATATAAACCCAGAAATAATTACAAGGACATGTGAAAGTGTGTTGTTTGTTTCTATAGTATGTGGATTACGATGCTACACATGTACAGCTGCTGATCCTAAATCCTGCATAGACAGCAAATCTTGTGCCGTCATCTTCAACCGTTGTTTCTCTTTCAGAGTAGACGGTGAGTCGTTTTCTCACATCAGACTTGATAACTGAGAAGCCCAAGCATGCACAGTGATGCTACACAGCATGCTTTGAAGTGGTTTCTGAGAGTTTTCTCCTCATGTCTTGCAGGTTATAACTTGGTTACAAAAGGCTGCCAAACCAGTGCAATTTGTGGTGGTGCTATGGCTTGCTGTGAAGGGGACCTGTGTAACAGCACTGCTCCAACTGGTCCCAGTGCTTTGCTACTGTTGGTATCTTCAGCCATCCTCAAATTTCTTTTCTGAGGCCGTGGAATGATGTTGTTTTTCTGTTTTTGTCCTGCTTTCTGCTTTTATTTTGTACAACTGAAGAATAAATACATTTTGTGTACCATCATTTGAAGCAAAATTGTCCTTGACATTTTGATCTTAGTCAAATGAATTCAGGGTCCTATTCAAATACTGTATTGCTTCAGCGTTAAGTTTTCCTAAAGCAAATAAAAACGCAACCAGAAAATACCTTTGTATATTTTTTGATTGATATGTTTTAACTGCAGCTGTTTCAGATTTCTCTCACTAAGACACAAAAAGGGCAAGGGAGTGAGTAAGAGAGAGGGACACACAGGAAATGCGAGAGTCAATACGCCTACACGCGGGGAAGTGAGACAAAAAAGCAGATGACACGACAGACTCACATAGGCAAAACAGGGGTGAGACAAACACACAAGAGGAACCTCACAGAGAATAAACTGCAAAATTGGAAAGCCAAAAATAACCTAAACTGAAACTTAAACCATTAGAATACAAAAGTCAGAAAAATACAATAAGCTCGTACAGAATGTGCACCAGCTCTCATTTGGTTGGTTTGCTGTTGTGTTGCTGCAGTTGTTGCAGATGAATTCAGTGCAGAAATATGAACCAATGAAGCCAGAGTGAGAAGTGAAAATGAAGACGGTATAATTAGAAAGCAAAATTCTCCCCTCACCACACTCCCTGCCGGTGGCTGATGCCCTCAGACGTTGGTGTGTTGGTGGTCCTTGTCGACTGGGGCTGGGCGCTCATTTATGTAGCCTGGTGGCCGATTGGCGGGGCCTGGTGCCTGTGGCCCGGCTGGGCCCCTTCCGGGGGGTGGGGTGCCCTCAGGCCTCTGGGCCTGAAGCTCGGTCCCTCTGGCACAGCTGCCGGCAGAGCCTGCGGGCACGCCACTGCAACCCCCTCTGGCCTCTGCTCCGTAGCTGCTGGGTGACCTCTTTGGGGCTCTACTCAGCTCTTCCCAGAAGGGTGGCACGGTTCCCCCCCCTTTTGGTGGTCCTCCTCGGGTCCTCGTACTCTGGGGCCTCTGGATGTCGGGGGCCTGGATCTCCTCCATACCTGCTTCAT